GAACACATTTAGTTTGAGCACAGCTCCCATGTCGGTAAAAACAACTGTAACTTGACGCCCGACGCTTTAATATCAGCATTTACTTTAAAAGCTTTCCACTTTGCGATGGTAATAAACCTGCCAGGCTTTAATTACCTGGATCTGGTATCAAAATTGCACTTTTAATCTTATCGCTGACCCTGATGCACTACAGAGTCGATTACTGCACTTAATAGGATGTAATATATTTGCCAGCGCTAACTCGCTGGCAAAAAACAAAACAAAAAAAAAAAAACACCCAGGAAGAATAAAGTCTAAATGTTTAGCTTTGCACTTGGTTACCCCATGCACAGAAAAATACCTGGTAATATGGAGTTGAAGACAGCCAGAACCATTGTTCTTTTACTAAAGGGTTGGTTGGTCTCGGGTCTGAAGACGGGAATACAGAGACGTACCAGGATGAAGTGGGCATAAAACAGGCATCCCATAATCTATAAATACAACATCAGAGAACAACAGAATCAATAAAAGAAAAGAACCATAAAGCTTGTTATCTAAATAAATGTGTGGTTTCTGATGTCAGTAAGTCTTTGTTCTTACTCTGAGTGCTCCATATATTCTAACTACGGCATTAAATTCAAAGTGAAGCTGAAGTCTTACCTTTACAAGAGTAGCGCCGACATATTTCCATCGTATGTGGCTATTTCTGTGAAGAAAGAACAGAGTGATGTTAGAAGCACTAAGAGTTGGCCTCTTTAACCTCAGACCCCAGCAGACCTCTTCGGACTGGCATCGGAGAAGTTTGGATGTCAGACGGAAAACCTCAAACTGCTTTCTGTGTTCTTTAAACCATAAAGTTTTTTTTTCTTTCATTTTTTTTTTCAGTTTTCCTGTGATTTCCTGCTGAGGGGGAAAGTGCTGCTGCTATGTGGGAGGTGTGATTGGTTTGCAGAAGTGTTTTTAGGCAGGTGGCAAAACGTCAGACTAACATCCATATGATTGCCAGGATGCAGACTTTTCCCTACAGATCACAGAGTTGTAATGTTTACTCATTTTACCTTTATTTCAATGTTAAAGCTGGTCAATATGCATGTCTGTGCACATGCAGTAAATATGTGTGAGTTTTGCTTGATATTTTTATGCTCCTTATGTTAAAAGTTGGAAGTTAATCCTTTGTAGATGGACATCCAACAATCCAAAGTTAGTGGGTGATAATAAGATAAGCCACATAAACTCCCTGGCTATAAGAACCAGAATCAGAAATACTTTATTGATCCCAGAGGGAAATGAGTTATTACAGCTGTAACTGTTCAAGTAAAATAATTGGATAATAAAGATAAAACACTCTAGTTTGAAATGAAATTAAATGAAATTAAACACTAAAGAAAAAGTGTGGTAACAGTATGGTTAATATCATGTATACCGCATGAAAATCTAAACCTTGTGGGACATAAACAGTATAAGATAAAATAAATCTAACCGTGACAGTGCAACTTACCGAGGATATGACTCCTTGTAGATAAGTGTTGGACAGAAAAGGAAATACAAATAGCTGGAGAATGTTGGAAACCTGCGGTTTTCACCTGAAAGTAACATAATTCAGATTTTTTTTTATCAAAATAAACTAATAAAATCCAATTTAAATAGCAAAAATCTAAATAAAAATTGTTTATTACGCCAAAACAGCTATTTTAGATCTGTGGTCCACACTTCTGCTTCTAATTTTATAATCATGAACCTCTAATGAAGTTTAAAGTTACAATTAGATATAAAAAACAAACAAAAAAAGTTTTCACTATAAACACAACTGTCTTTGTTTTTATTTGTCTGTGCCACAATGCTCACCTTCTTAACATTAAAACACAAATATAACAATAACTCCAGGACATTAAGACTTATTTACTGTGTGTATGTGTTTTTATTGTTGGCTTTAACGTCAGCATAAATCATTTTCTCGGTAACCTGCTCAGCTCCGTTTTAGTCATTTTCCCCCCCATGTGTCTGGGAATGTCACTGTGAGTAATGAAAGCGCCGGCGGAGTAAATACACCTGACATCAAAACAATACAGTACATTACCTTCCTTTGGCATATTCTTTATAACAACAGGAACTGTTTCTCTTACGAACGAGTAGGTTTTCATCTGGAATCGAATCTGAGGAGATCAGACAAATTATAGTGTAAGTTCAAGTATCGATATCAAAAGTTGCCGCATTGTGGGTTTTGTTTTAAACAAGAAGGCAACAATAACTGGAAATACCTTTGTGAGATCCCACACTGCTACTTACTTAAAAAAAACACTCACCTGCTCCAGAATCACAATGAAGCGTGATGCTGGTGGCAGCTGGTGGTGCACAACGGTGTAGATTGGGAACAGTCCCAGAACACAGGTCTGTATGACCGACAGGACCAACCCCAAACCCAGAGACAACCCTAACTTGGAGGGCAACTTGTGGTATAAAGAACCCCAGAAGTCCAGGATGTAGTAGGGAACAAACAGGGTGTAACCAAACATAAAAGCCCAGGCCCAGGTGACGGTCCCCAGTTTCCCAAAAGCATAGGACAGCAAGTCAAACTCCAAGACCAACCTGGAAGTGTGGAAAAAAAAATTATAATCAATAAATGGACATAAGTGGAAATTATTCTAAATAATTTGATATAACTTTTTAAACAAATGTGAATGTTTAGATTTTAAGGAGCCAACTGGGCTGCTACAGCTAATTAGCATTAGCCAACACATACATGACTATGCTGTAACTTAATTTACATAGATATTAAGCTAAAATTTGGTGTGGTTATAGCTGAAAGTCCTCTTCAACAAACTGTATACTCTGAGTTCTAACACGTCTCATTAAGATCTAATTTCACAGCATCTTTTACAAGATTTAACCAAAACATCTTGAACGTCATCAATTTTCACCATAAGAGGATTTTTGTTTAAAACTCAGCGAGCGACATGCATTCACTCAACGAAGGCCAGGCCCTTTATAATTTTTTGTTTCATCCATTTATCTTTGTTAAAATCAATGCTAACTGAGGATAAATCTGTCAGATAATTTGCACACAGAGGAGTTGCCTTTTGAAGCTTATTGAGAAGAAAAATAAGTGAAACTGCAAACAACAAACTAAATCATTACTGAGTGGCCCAAAGCAATAGGAGCTACTCTCAGAAGGATTGATTGTGTTATCTGCTGCTGCCAGATGAGCAGAGCAGCAGCGAGGGAACCAGGAGGAAACACAAGGAGGAGAAGCAGGAGAAAGAAGTTTCTTAAAGGCCTTTGGGCTATAATTGGTTTCTATTTAGATTTGGTTCACGGTTTTAGAGTTTGAGGAGGGCACGATCATAAACACCTCCAAACAAAAGCAGAGACGTGTGAGAAATTAAAGGAAAAGCTGCCTGTTTTACTGCTGCAGGGAGGTGATGTGGTGTATCTCTGTGTGTTTGGCTGCAGACATTCAGCCTGAATGGTTTGGCTTCTCTGAGAGAAGAATGATTACAGATCAATGCAAAGACGTTCTGAGGGATCCCCATTTACTGTTATATAATGTTTTCATCCTGATGGAATAATCTCTGACTCAATACAACAGCACTGACTGAAGAGTTTGATGAGAGTTTGAAACTACACAAAAGCTTTCTGCTGATTCAGCATTTACACTATTGGTTTTGAGGCTTTCATTCTCATTCTTCTTCCCAAGGTTTTATAGTCTTTTGTAAAGTTTAATTTTTAACCAGTCATATTTAAAATTTTCAGCACTAGGCCTTTGCTACTTTTTAGCTACTCTTTTTCTAATTTTATTTTAAAGCTAAACTGTTGCTACCTTTGGTTTTTACATTTTAGGTTTGCTGCATATCGCTAGCATTTTTATTTTTCAGCTAGTATTTAGTTACTTTAAGTCAACATTTTGCTGCATATAGCTAGCATTTTGTTATTTTTAGCTAGTATTTAGCTACTTTTAGTCAACCTTTTGCTACATACATGTAGCTAGCATTTTGCTACCTTTAGTGTAATTTTTTTGCTACTTTTAACTTTTAGCCATATTTTAGTAGATTTGAACTATAACCAGCATTTTTCTTCTTGTAGCTTTTAGCATATGTTCTTCTAGCTTTGTCATTTTAGCAATGTCATTTAGCACCTAGAATTTACAATTTTTTTTTTTAAAAAATCAGTTTTTCTAGTCGGATGATGAAATTTAAAACCATCAAGTTTGTAAAAACGTTGCATCATATCTTTAATAAATTATGTATTTCACATGTTTTATTCTTCTAATAAAGCGCCACAGTTCTGTTATATTTTAGTTTTTACAGTATCGTTTTTTTGTTTTTCCTTTTAACCCATCATTATTGTGAACATGCACTTTTCTCACATACCTGCCCTGATCAATGTAGTCAACAGCCAGGGTGCTCAAACAGAAGATGAGGAGAACAGCTATGAACATGTGGTAGATGGTCCTGATGTGACTGATCTCAAACAGCTCACTGAGGGACAGACAAAGAGAAAAAAAAATCAAGAAAAGTAAATAATTTTCCACATTAAACTCTGCCTTTTATAGTTTTACTTAAACCTTGTTTGATTTGTACTGAAGCAGGTTTGAGATAATTAGTCATGTAACAAACTGAATAGTACTCTTTTCGCTTCATATTGTCTAGTCTTGGGACTAGCTGAGGCAGAACAAAGCACATAAAGATGAGTCCTTTTTCAGAAAACTTTCAGTAACATCAGTAATTATCTCCACTGGGAGCCGCACTGTGAAGCTGGACTCTCATTTCTGGTTTTGCTGCGTCTTTATTACTCACTCCAGCAGCGACGCCCGTTCCTTGAAGACTTTGCCATCATCCATCCTCTGAGCTCTAACACAGATGACACAGAAAAACAGTCAGACGTGCGTTACAGTAATCTTAAGAACCAGCGTGTGGGATTGTACACTCTGCATCCCTCTCACCTGGACGGCTGTTTCTGGGCTGTTTTTCCATTTAATAAGAACTTGATACGAGAGGGAGGCTCAATGGATTCAGTCAGAGCTTTGTCCAGAATTTCCCCGAACTGATCCTGGACCTGCTCCAAAACCTTCACCTTTAGTTTCTGCACACGAGGGACAAAAAAATGGTTTATTCATTTTTCTTTTAACCTCTCTGTCCTTGTCTGGGTTTCCCGTTCATAGTGAGACGAAGCATCCCTCTTTTCACTTCATATTTTCAAAATTCCTCTTCCTTGTTTCCAGTTTAGAAAAATAAATTAAACCGTTGACTATAAATGAATGAGAAGCATCTAATTTACCTGCACATAATTTTGCCACTCTCTCAGATCTTCCTCCTGCTCACAACTCCGCACTGCAAAGAGAGGAGCAGATGTCACTCAGACTGTCTGAGCCTCACAATTTACATCACATCTACAAAAAAACTGTCTGATGTTGAGCTCAAAGACTGTCAATCCAACACTTGGCATAATTTTTGCACTGATCTTACGTGTTGCAATAAAAGAAAGAACATTTTTTTTAGTGTTTGTTGGTTTTGGGAAACATTTGTTTTTCTACAGTAATTAAATGTAGATCTCCTTTAAAGAAAATAATACCATCACTGGAGGCGCCTTCAGTCTGACAGTTCTTGATGTTTCGATGTCGGGCACCGATAGGTGTCTCTGTCGTCATGGTTAGACCTGAAAAGGACAACAGTGTTAAAGAACCAACAAATGGAAGTAAGCTGAATAAAAAAGCTGCATGTTTGCATCGTTTCGCAGCTGATAAATATAATGTTAGAAATTAATAAAATAAAAAGAAACCAAATAATGAACTCTTTTTCTGTGGAAGCTGATTAATGCTAGCTGTCTGTGAGGAAAATGAAAGCCCTTGGTGATCAAAGGTGTCATACACTGTATTTGCTGTATTTCAGACAATATACAGCGGATAAAATAAGTATTGAACACGTCACCATTTTTCTCAGTAAATATATTACTAGAGGTGCTAATGACATGAAATTTTCACCAGATGTCGGTAACAACCCAAG